TGTGTTATATTGTATGGAGACCCCACGCTGGGGTCTGTGCATAAAAGGCAGACTGTAGCACAATAAAAATCAATTGTACTCGGAGAACAGTGTGGTTGTCCAGTTACTGGGGAGGGATAGAGCTATTCACTTTGTAGCCCCTTGTTTCAGAGTTCCAGTTCCTACGGATCCAACGGAGAAAAGTCCTTGTCAGGACTAAAGCTTTTTCACATGTATCATCCAACCATCAAACTAGTCACATTCACCATCTAATCATACCCAATCTAGTTGCATTCACGCATCCAATCAAATACTTCAAATAAGTCCCATTTACTTATCCAATCAACTATACCAAAGTTTTTGCATAAATGTATATATGATGGGAAGGGCGTGGGGGGACTGGCCATGGATGGTAAATCCTGATCTACTTGTCCCTTATATTTATTGATGTTATGATAAAGTTTTCTGCATCTGTCTAAACTATTAGTAGGATCCCCCTCACAGAATAACCCCTCCACCAAAGCACTGCACCCCCCAGATGATCTATTTGTGTACCTCTTACTTAATTTATTTTTGTACCTCTTACTTAATTTATTCTATTTCCCTCAATTGTCTCTCACCTTATATTGACCCTTCACCATATCCCCCATTATTATCAGTCTCCCAGCACATATTCTCTTTCCCTCATCCCTACTTTTTTTCTAGAACAGAAAAGGTGCATCACTGGATGAGTCCCTGCAGTGTACTCACCCATACAGGACCCATATTGTATCAGTTCAGAACCAGGTGCAGTATGGCAGATCTATAACACAGCATAATATCCTTGCTCTCTCTATTGGTGCTTGTAACATCTAACATAGAAGCAGAAGAGTCCTGAGAGAGCCCGTCCCCCTGCCTAGTCCATGTCACCTGGCTATGCCACATCACAAAATACTGTATAAGGTGCTACTTCTGCTCACATTTACATAGGCCAGTCTCAGTGAAGTCACATCTGTAGATATGGATGTATGTATCTATCTATCTACACCATGGGTCGTCAACCTGGTCCCTACCGCCCACTAGTGGGCGTTTTAGGATTCCAGGTGGGCGGTAGGGATTTCTGAGGCTAAATCCTCTTTTTAAGAGGATTTCTCCTTTTGGGCGGGCGCGAGCGGCTCTGCATGCGCAAGTCTTCAGTGACCGGCAGGAGGAAGCGCTCCCTCCTGCCAGGCCACCTTCTGGACCCCCCGGCATGGCAGCGTTCTAATCAGTCGCGGCGAGGGAGCTCTAACCTCTCTGCTCTGCTCCCTCGCGCGATGTTTGCTGATGCCGCGGGAGCCGGAATATGATGTCATATTCCGGCTCCCGGCATCCGTAGACAGTCCGCGAGGGAGCAGAGCAGAGAGGTTAGAGCTCCCTCGCTGCGTCTGATTAGCCGCCCGCCTAAGTGAAGCCCCACTGGACCCCAGGGACAGATCCACACCAGCTCTCCAGGTAGGGAGGCTGGGTGGATATTTAATATTAATAATTTGTGTGTATATGTGTTTGTCTCTAAGTGTATGTGTGTGTGTCTGTAAGTGTGTGTGTGTGTCTGTAAGTGCGTGTGTGTGTGTGTGTGTGTCTGTAAGTGCATGTGTGTGTGTGTGTGTGTCTGTGTCTGTAAGTATATGTGTGTCTGTGTCTGTAAGTATATGTGTGTGTGTGTGTCTGTAAGTGTATGTGTCTGTCTGTAAGTGTATGTGTGTGTCAGTAAGTGTGTGTGTGTCTGTGGGTCTGTCTGTGCATGTGTGAGTGTCTGTAAGTGCATGTGTGAGTATGTGTATATTTGTGTGTATGTGTTTCAATGTGAGTGTGTGTGTGTGTATGTGTTTGCCTGTGAGCAGAGTACTTGTAGAATAGAAGAAAGAAGGTGCAGAGTACTTGTAGAATAGGAGAAAGAAGGAGTAGAGTACTTCTAGTATAGGGGAAAGAAGGAGTAGAGTACTTCTAGTATAGGGGAAAGAAGGAGTAGAGTACTTCTAGTATAGGGGAAAGAAGGAGTAGAGTACTTCTAGTATAGAGGAAAGAAGGAGTAGAGTACTTGTAAAAAAGGAGAAGGAAAGAAAAGGAAAAGGAGAGAATTGTTGTTGACTAATAATAGTAAGTGGGCTACCTAGCTCAGCCTTCCTACTGGGCATTGCTATAAGGAAGGTTAAAAAATAGAAAAAAGGGGAAAAAGGTGGGAAGGGGAATTGAGGAGGGAGAGGAGGGGAGCTGACGCACAGATGAGAAATCATTTTATGAGCAAACAAAGAAGTCTTCCGATTATCACTGAAAGAGGAGACCTTCGTTTGTTCCTTATGAAAATCGAACCAGATATCAAATATTTAGTCTCGCAGCATCAACCTCAAGGATCTCATTAATCACTAGTAAAGGTAAGTTCAATTTACTTTATTGCTTCCTCATTAAACTTTATAAAGTTAAAAACATTATAAACATGCATAAAGTAGAAATAAAAAGATAAATGTACGTTCATTTATGTATTTTTTAAAACACCCTCCTTTCTAAAAAATATTCCGCGCTTGCGCGAAAACTGGTGGGCGGTAAGGAAATTTTTCCATCAAGAAAGATGCATTAGTGGGCGGTAAGTGGAAAAAGGTTGACTACCACTGATCTACACACATATACATATTCCTCTTTTTTTTTCTAGCAGAAACAGGATATTACATTCAAATAAGTGGTTGAATTAGCACATGGATGACCATGTGAGCAGTAACGCCACGCCAAGGCTTCAACCCTTGTTACTGACCATTCACACACCTTTCACATCTCTTTTCACTCACTGAATCAATCACCATTCACTCCTCAATCATAACCAATACAACACATCCATCCATCCCACATTCACTCTCTCACACACCTTTCATATGTCTTTTCACTCACTGAATCACACACCAATCGTTCTTCACTCATAACCAGTACAAAACGCACACCCATCCATCACCCTCTCACACTTTCTCACATATCTTTAACACTTGTGGAATCACACACCATTTATTCCTCAGTCACATCCATCCACTCGTCCATCAACCCATCCATCCATCACCCTTTCTCACACACCTTTCATATCTCTTTTCATTCACTGAATCACACACCATTTATTGCTCAGTCACATCGATTCACCTGTTCATCAACTCATCCATTCATCACCCTTTTCTCCCACACCTTTCATATCACTTTTCACTCGCTGAACCACATACCATTCACTTCTCAGTCACAACCAAGAAAACATGCACAGGTATCCATCCACCACCTTCACTCTTTCTCACACACCTTTCATATCTTTTTTCACTCACTGATTTATACAGCATTCTGTCCTCATTCATGACCAGAACGACACACACACAAACACTCACACATGCATTTATTTTACAGTAAGGCAAGGTATTTAAACCCATGTCCGGACTAATTTTAAAAGGACACTATAGGCACCCAGACCACTTCCGCTCATTGAAGTGGACTGGGTGCAGTGTCCCTGTCCCACTTAGTCCTGCAATATTAATAATTGCAGTTTACATTGCAGTACTAAGACTGTCACTAGTGGCTACCAAACAGCTACTAAGGGCGCTTCCAGGATTCAAAGGGCATCTGAGTCCCTTAAAACAACGCTGGACGGCCTCTGCATGGCGAAATCCAGCATCAGTGAAAACCCCATAGGAAAGCTTGTTGCTCATGCACATTAGTTGCCATCAGAGGAGGAAGCGGAGTGAATCAGGTAAGTAAATAGAGATTTTTAAAACCCCTTTATATGCTGGAGACGGGGCCCGTGAGGGAGGGGTGGGAAATAGTGTTAGAAATACAGGTTTGTTTTCCTAACACTATAGATTCACTGTAAGTTACTGTTATTGGCTGTGTTGTTGAAAAAGCTTGTCAGATGATTAAGAGCAGTGGATTGTATGATTCCACCAATAACATTAGCCAATTACTGCCAAGTGGACAGAGAGGATTGAGATGGCATTAGACGTGGCCAAGACCTGCGCACCCTAGATTGGTGGTATTTGGCGTACTAGGGGGTACCTACCTATTAAAGAATATGACTGACACTTGTACATGGTGCGGGTGGTGAGGATCGCTTGGCAGATTCATTAGTGGAGTAGACACCTACATACAGATAGCCACTCCAAGTAGTCTATGGAGACTGTGATAAAAACTGCACATCACAATCTTTTTTGTAAAACTCAGCCTAGAGATGTACAAGAGGACACTTTACAAAAACATTTTTCACATTTTATAAATTGTGATAAAAAGAAATTTGATGTTAATCTTTTGCTAGAATAAAAAAGCAGTGTGCAGCTAGCTGTGTTCAGGTCTTGCCATCACAGTCAGTTTCTAAGAATAACGCAAATTAAAAAAAAAAAACAGCCAGTTATTTTCACTAGTTGCTGTTAAACATAAATTTAATTAAATTTCACTCACAACAGTTCACTTCACTGCTGATTGAGAATGTAAAAAAAAAAACTGACACAGCCAGTAACTTTACTACCTGTGCAAAAAGAAAAACAGTGACAGAGCAGTTACTTCACTGCCTGCACAGATAAAAAAAAATAAAAAGATAAACATTAACAGTTGCTTCACTGCCTGTAGATATAGAAGGAATAAAAACTTCAAAATAAAAGTGCGGACACTGCAAGTTACTTCACTGCCTGTCCAAAGAAAAAAAAAAGTAAACTCTGACTGTGGTTGTGATCTTACAGCACTAGCTAAACTAAAGACAACTGTAGTATAGCTAAACAGCTGCCTGACCACTGCAGTTTTTAGCGTTTCATTCGTTGCACATGGTTAAGGAGCAAAGGGGAGACGCAGCAGCTCGACCCTCTTCTGGCGACAATCCAGCAGATCCCACTCAACCTACATCCCAGGGTAATGGGGCTGGAGCATATGGGCAAGCCCCCCTTCATTTGCCCCAAATTCTAACTACTCACTAACAAGACAACACTTTGCATGTTACTTTACCCTTTCAAGGTCCCTCGTTGTCAACAGGGAAAGAGATGTTGGAAGAAATTTCACAACGCTGCTGTAGACTGGGAGAGGATGTTAAAAGAAAATCCAAGAAATAATTTTTGCTGCTCTGGTGGAATCGGTGGAGTAAATGCTTCGTAGCTAGATATGGTTGTCTCTTTTATCACTTTTGCTGTTAAACTCTCCAGTGTTGGCTACAAAGAAAAGACATAATAACACACTGTAGTATTTACAGTTGACTATGTGCAAGAAAACTTCCATTAAGAGTTGCCACACTTAAAAAGCTGTATAAGAAAACCAATATGGGTGTAAAATATACCCATGGTGGTGGGGTTAAATATTATCACAAGTTTTCTTCTGACCTTTTTATAAATTACTCTCCACTCCACAGCCTTTCTGTTGGAGAACAAGGAGAAGACATTTGCCATAAAACCTCTGGTTTTATTTTTGTATGTAAGAGAATCAATTAGTTCTTTCAATGTAGGTATTGGCATAATTGGGAAAGGAGCTAGATATACAGCTTGTCAGGAAGGAACAGAAATGGGTTTCTGGCAACGTACAGAGGTACAGAAATGGCTGGAGAGTATAGTAAAGGCTACTAAGCATTATGAGAAATATTGTTTAGAAAATATGCAGTGCTGCCAACTTTAGATATTGTTTGTGTTTATGAGTCTCGGGGCTTAATTTCTCATAATACTTTGGCTATACCCAAAGACAACCAATAATCCACAGACCGGTCACACCACCATGTCACCTTGATTGTCCCTCTTTTCGTTATATAAAATGGTCACCAGGTTTACTAAGTTTCAACTCATATTAGAGCTTTATTGAAGCTTTACAATTTTCAAAGCCGGTTTTACTGGCACTAGAGAAACCCTTTAAAATCACCTGTTTCAAATAAATAGATGTTACATCTTGCAGTTCCATCTTGTGAGTGCGTTTCTTCCACCACCCAATGTCTTTTGTTTGTAGTTATTAAACTATTGCATATTTTTTCTTTTAGATTCTATTTTGCATACCTTGCAGGTTGTAGTTTTATTATCCACTTTTGGGTGGTTTCTTTATATTATATGTAGAGTTCTCCAATTTTGTTATATACTATTGTATATTTATTTTGGGTTCACATATAGTTTTTGTGTTTGGTAAGAAACATTTTTAGGAGACTCTTAGTTTTATTTTTTTTAATTTTTGTATTATTATGTAAAATTGTCAGATAGCAATGCACTGGGTATCCTATCTTCAGTAATAGCAATAGGAGACTTCCACACTAAAGATAGCCAGTAGTTAGCAGCAACTTGCCACTCTTTGTTTTAGTGTAGAATTCCTTCACTAATATCAGTATTGATATTAGCAGAGGGAATACTTTTGGTATTAAGATTAAGTCAAGGATTAAAATTAAGGATTATTATTCGGTTTAGAATAAGGATTAGGTTTATTACTAGGTTTATGATTAGGTTTATAATTAATTTTAGTATTGGGATTATGTTTCAGATTAGGAATCGGATTATGGTTCAGATTATGATTAAATTCAGCACAGGAATCCCTCTGCTGAACTCATCAATCCTTCTTTCACTGTCGCAATAGTTAGGATTAAGGATATAATAAGGGTGTCATGATCTTGTCCAGGTCAGATAGGATACTTATGCCAGGGTTGTTATTTGAGACTTTATTTGTGCTTTTAGACATATTATGCAACTTCAGGGAAAACAGACTTTAGGCAATATGCCACAAAACAGGATACTTGCAAATAAAGAAAACAAAGGCAGGTTGGTATCAACAGCAGGCAGGCTGGTAACAGTAGAAGGCTGATAATGGAGGCAGGTTTGTAACACAGGAAGGCTGGTAAAAGAAGCAGAGGTCAAAATCATACGTGAGAGTGGAGCAGGTTTAAAGGCAAGTCTGGAGCAGGTTGGTATGGAGCAGGGTAGAAGGTAAATCTGGAGCAGGTTGGTATGGAGCAGGGTAGAAGGTAAGTTTGGACAAGGTTCACGGGAGCCAGGAACTGAAGTCTTTCAGGTAGATCATTAACTTCATTGTAAAGGCCCTGTTGTGAGCAGGGTGTAGCCTTATGTAGCTGAAGCAAGTAATTAGTCCTAGGCAGGTGAGGACTGAGGTGACTAGTGGCTAGGGAGGCCACTAGTGGTTGAGAGCTGGAACTTCTTTTTAAAGGAACAGAAACAAAAGGAAGATAAAACATAGCTGTCAGGATACGATCCTGACATAGGGTTAGACATGGGATTACGGTATGACATACAGTTGAGGTGAGGTGCATGATTAGATTTAGGATTAGATTTGGAATTAGGATTTGGTTTAGAATTATGACATGGTTTAGCATTAGGAATTTAGATTTGGATTTAGATCATTACTTTCCAAAGATATAGATATGAGATATTGATGTATTGAGGAGATGTTGCTGAGTACAGCTATGATATATTCGCAGTACACACTGTACATTACTGGAGGCTCTGTATTATCCCAGAACCTCCAGTAATTCACAGTGTGTACATTACCGGGGGCTCAGTAATATCCAAGTATACACTGCACATTACTGGGGGCTGTGAATTATCCCAGTACATATTGCACATTACTGGGGGCTCTGTAATCTCTCAGTACACACTGCACATTACTGGGGGCTTTGTAATATCCCAGTACACACTGCACATTACTGGGGGCTCTGTAGTATACCAGTACACACTGCACATTACTGGGGTCTCTGTAATAACTCAGTACACACTGCACATTAATGAGGGCTGTGTAATATCCCAGCACACCTGCACATTACTTGGGACTTTGTAATCTCTCAGTACACACTGCACAATAGTTTGTCTCTGTCATATTCCAGCACACACTGCACAATAGTTTGTCTCTGTCATATTCCAGCACACACTGCACATTACTGGGGGCTCTGTAATATCCCAGTACAAACTGGACATTACTGGAGGCTCTGTAATATCCTAGTAAACACTGCACATTACTGGGAGCTGTGTAATATCCCAGTACACACTGCACATTATTGAGGGCTCTAATCTCTCAGTACACACTGCACATTACTAGGGGCTTTGTAATATCCTAGTACACACTGTACATTACTGGGAGCTCTGTAATATCCCAGTACACACTGCATATTACGGAGGGCTCCATGACTCCCCACTCTGCAATTCCTTGCACGTTAGTTGCCCAAACTACCATCCCATTACATTTTTGCATTTATAGTATTACTCAGACTTTCACCTTTCACTGCCTGATCTTGGAATTGTACTCCACAAAAGCATTTGATGAGTTTGCCTCAAGTTTCCACCTAATGCAGCACCTTTGACTTAAGGAGCTTTAAAATAGAGGAGATAAGTAGTTGTAATGTGTAAATGTGTAATAGTTATTTTCCTAACTTAACATGTATCCCTCTCCTCCCTGCAATCTCCAACAGCATGCCCATACCAGCCTAATTCCTACAAGCGCTCTGATTTTGCTGCAGGTTGCAAAGACATCCCCTGATGATATCAGACGCCTAGCCTGCAGCTTACCCAGTGCTCAATCAGGAGGAGAGGAAGCTGCAAGATTAACAGGTTAGCCAGTAGTGTGAGACTATTACAGCAGGATGAGCCTGGGAGCTGGAGCTCCACCTGCGCCTATGTTAATCTGGCCCTGTGGACTGAGAGGTCTTCCATTACCTGTGTCTGTTTCCATGTTTGTAACCACATCTGATCATTCTGGTCTCTGCTGAAAGGTTCTGTATACTTACTGGGCTTCGCGCAAAGGGCGGATCTACCTTGCCGGCCTCCAGCTCATCCCAGTCAATTGACTGGAAGAAAGGATGTCTGCGGATATTGCCAGCTGCCTCTAAGCGCTCTGATGGGTTCTTACACATGAGCTGTAAATGGAAAAAGGTCTATAATAAAACTGCCTTTGTTCATTGGCTAAAAAAACATACAAACACAATTTAGAGGGTAGATCAGCAATTATTAAAATCTGAATTGCAGTACTACAAAGTTAAAGCGGCACTGTCATGCCGAACTTACCTTTCTTTAATCGATTCCTCTTCTCTCCGTCTGTCAGGATCTGTTCTTCATTTCTTCCTGTCTGCTCTAGTTTTCTGTAAAACATTAGACAAAGTAGGGACTACTTTGTCTTATGGAGGTTTCCTACTCTTGACCAGCTTTGACCAGCGTAGGAGCAAAGCGTGCTTTGTTTCCGGTGATCAAAGCAATTTTCCCACAATTCTGATCTTTGATGCGTGATCTCGCGATGATTCCTGTTAGTAGTCCTTAACGTCCTGTCGCTTAGAGAGCAGGCCAGCGAAACTACAGAATTTCATCCTAACAGAATGAGAAACGTTCCCCCATTCGTGTTAGGATGCAATTTGGCACTTGTTCGGAATTTCATTCTAATGAATGAAACTCCGATCCTATTCGTGCCGTGGCTGCATCTTGCAGCCGCTAAGTAGATAACTCCCTAATTCCCACGATATCAGGGAGCTATATACCAAAAGGCTGAAATACCTTCTTAATTGGTCTTTCAGCCAAATTTACTAATATTAAGTAAAGATTACTTAGTATTAGTAAATTCTGCCCTTTCTTGCTATATCGCGAGTAGGGGCCTGTCTAGTAAACAGTAACCAGTGGCTGCTCACTGTAAACCCCCCCCAAATAAAACTCCTGAGCCGCGCGAACAGGAGACTGGGGGGGACCTATAGTCCTCCCCACCGACCCCCACCCATGAGTGGCGGGTGAGGGCCCTAAATTATAATAAAGTGCGGGGACCTTTTGGCCTCCCCCACCCCTGAGCTGCGGGTGGGGGCTCTAAATGAAAATGTGTGTGTGGGGGGAAGAACCTATTGTCCTCCCCCCTGCCCCCACTCATGAGCGGTGGATGGGGGCCCTAAATAACAATAAGGAGGGGGACTTATTGTCCTCCCCTGCGGCCTCCACCCATGAGTGGCGGGTGGGGTCTCTAAATAACAATAAGGGGGGAGGGAATAGCAACCAGAGTGTTGTTATGAGTCAAATTACACAGCATGGGAAAATTCTAAAGAACTTTCCCACGCTGTGTAAAATGACAGAGCACTCTGATTGTTTGGATTTCAAGTCAACCAATGAGAGTCCTGTGACAGGTAAATTTAGAGACTTACCTGTCAGTCTCTTCATTTACCTGTCAGAGCACTCTGATTGGTTGGCTTAAACCAACCAATCAGAGCGCTCTGAGCCTAATTGCAGGGCGTGGGAGGAGGGGAGGACAATAGGTTGCCCCCCCCATTTTCATTTAGGGCACCCACCCGCCGTTCAGGGGTGGGGGCAGACAATAGGTCCCTCCCCCTTATTATAATTTAGGGCCCCCACCCGCTGCTCATAGGTGGGGCTGGGGGGACGACTATAGGTTCCCCCCCTCTTATTGTTATTTACGCCCCCACCCACAGGCCAGTGGCTGCTCACTGTTTACTAGACATGCCCCTACTCGTGGCATAGCGAGTAGGGGCAGAATTTACTAATACTAAGTAATCTTTACTTAGTATTCATAAATTTGGCTGCAAGACCAATTTAGGTCTTTCAGCCTTTTGGTAGATAGCTCCCTGATACCGTGGGAATTAGGGAACTATCTACTAAGCGGCTGCAAGATGCAGCCGGGGCACGGATAGGATTAGAGCTTCATTTATTAGAATGAAATTCTGATCCGAACAAAGTCCCGAATTACATCCTAACACGAATGGAGGAACTGTTCTCATTCTGTTAGGACGAAATTCGGTAGTTTCACCGGCGTTCTGTCTAAGCGACAGGGCGTTCGGGACTACTGACAGGAAGCATCGCGAGATCACGCATCAAAGGTGAGAATTGTGGGAAAATTGCTTTGATCACCGGAAACGAAGCACACGTTGCTCCTCCACTGGTCAAGTGTAGGAAACCTCTATATTTACGTTATATAGAAAACTTAAGCATACAGGAAGAAATGAAGAACAGATTCTGACAGAGGGAGAGAAGAGGAATCGATCAACAAAAGGTAAGTTCTGTATGACATTGCTGCTTTAAAAGGATGTTCCAAGCATCACAGTTCCAAAATGATTAATGATACACTTACTTTATTTTCTGCTCCTGTACATAATAGGAAGTGTCGCATGCCCTAACTACAAAACACAAACTATACCTTCATGCATGGCTAGTTCTTCCTTGTTTTAGATATGTTATCATGGTGTTCTTAACCTTCAAGTTATTTATCTCGTTCTCCTTCATGAGATGCCTCCCCTATATATATTGTGCTATCTTTACAATTACAACATACAATTAATCTTCCCAGCTATGGATTGCTGGTGTGAGCAGTATGCATCTCACTGAATTAATATCTGATTACTTGATTTTGATATTACAGTATATAGACAATGTGGTAATTTATGGGCATATACTGTTACTCTATGTTATTAGTTTTCTGTATAAAAAATGAATCTCTTTTATATTTGGAAAGAGTAACTCTTTCATAGAATTAGTTTCTTGTTGCAGGACATTAACCTAGAGCGCCAGATCATACACACCTTTTTCAGTAAATCTTTGACATTGTTTCTCTGACACTCAGGGTGGTTTGCGGTGTCTTGAAGCATGGATTCGGTAGCACTTCGGTCTTTGGGAAATGCTTTCTTGGCAATCTTATGGAGGATGAGGCCATAAGCCCACCAGTCTATAGCAGCATTGTATTTCTTCCCTTTACGCATCTGCCAAAATAATTTCAGAGACAATTAGTCAAGCGTTTCTATAGAGGAGAGAAAGTATTACTTCCACATATAATGCTATTCTCATCCTCTGCCCATTGAAATAGGCAACTTTTAAACAGCAAAGAACAGAAGTATACCACTGATTGGATGGGACAAAATACACAATCACTGTTTTTAAGGTATTTTCACATTTTAAAGTATTATCTTGGAGAGCATAGCCAGTCAGCTTTATCATCAGCCATGATACATAACCCGTGCTTAATATTACATCAATCGAAGGATTGATTATTATAGGTGAGAATAATATGGGCATTGTTGAAAATGCTATATTTGCAAGGTTTTCAACTTTATTTATACACATACTTTAAAATAATAATAAAAAAAAAATCATCCAAAAACAAAACACTACACATTGATAATTACGTAAAATTAAAGAGCTTATTGAGAATACACAATTAACAATAATCAATTTATGCTGTACCAATATCCATTTATAGTGAACCTGATTTTCCTTTGTAATTTTTTTTTCTGAATAGCAGAGTGATGATTGGAATTGGTTCACTAATTAAAGTGTATAAAGCATTTTGTCTGACATGTATTCTAGCACATGATTCTAGATTGGGATGCTGTTCCAGTGTTTATATACAAAGGGTAACTCTGGGCCACAGTTCTAAAATCACCACAAAAACGAACAAACCTTTTTTTAATATAAATTATATGGATGCTTATAACATGAGTTTTGAACTCATAGATAAAGTATACAGTATGAAATTAGGAAGTTACTGAACAATTTTGTAAGCCTAACCTAAGTATTAACCTTACTTTATGTAACATAAACAATAATTGCTAAAATATTAAGTTATTCCTTTAACAGGTTATGGAAATTATAATACAAATTGTTTAAAAGCAGGGATATCAAACATTGGCCCATCAAATGTTAAAGGACCACTAAAGTCATCCAGACCACTTCATCTCAACAAAGTGGTTGGAGTGCCGTGGTCCTGTCAATTTAATCCTGCAAAATAAAACATTGATGTTTTGTAGAAAAACACACACCTCCAGTGGCTGCCTTCCAGCTTTTCTAACTATGTTAATCTGCGGAGTGATTATTGCTCTTGGTGAAGTGTAATATGTTTTTGTCATGAAGCCTTAAACACAAACAGTAGTACACAGCAGCCATGGTCCATCCCTACCTCTGGAGCCATATAATTTTCGGTGCCAGCGTATCCTCTTGCGGTCTTCTTTCCGTGCATCTCCAGCGCCAGTCCAAAATCTCCAATCCTGATGTGGCCCTTCGCATCCAACATGATGTTCCTTGGCTTTATGTCTCTGTAGAGAGAATAATTCTATAATTGATATAGTTTATAGAAAGTACTGGAAGTAAGAAAATAGAGTTGCTGAAATCAGTCAGTGTTTTCAGGTTCTAGGCCAATCTGATATGATTTGAAAGAATCCCTTCTGTCATTGGAATAATTAGTTGCTATAATGTCTGGAATCCCCAGTTGCCATCTTACCTTATAGTGTTAAACCATTTTGAATAGTTTATCTTAATGAAGTGGTATAGGTGATGTGATCCTGCCATTTTAACTTTACAATGTAAAATATTGCAGTTTAGAAACTGCAATGTTTATATTGTATATTGCAGGGTTTTACAAATATCGAGTGGCTGTTTTCCTGGCAGCCACTAGATACACTTCTTCTGCAACAACCGAGTTGACACAATCATGGGCCATTCCATGTCCCCATCAAACCCAAGTATTAGATTCAATGCTTAGCTGTGAGAAGCATACTGAGCAGATGGCACTCGCCACCCACATGCATCTCGTCCCCAATGCTCCTCTAGCACAGTCTCCAGAATGACATTGTGGGAAGAAAATTGGGCTGCAACGCAGAGTGATTCTGGGCAATGGAAGACAGTTATATTAAAATCTTTTTTCAGGCTTTCAAGCAGAGCGCTCCTGCAGCAAGGTGGAATGTGGCTACAGAAACCTACCAAGCCAGGGACTATCCAACGACCCTATACTCCTCACTCACCCGCCCAGACGGCAGCAGCGAGTCAATGTGGCCAAGATCCCAGCATGAAATTCTCCTTGCCACACTGAACACTGCCGTGATCCTGACCTTAGAAGGCTCTCTCACACGGTTCCAGCGGCTCTGCAGAACAGGCATCGGCTGACCTCCCACGAGTAATAAGGGTTCCCCCTGTAATGTCCCTGAATCGTTAAGCCTGTCTGCTTTACAGTGCTTGCTGTATCAACCTGACTTCTATGATTTCCTTTTAAATGGAAGTGCAGCATAGTAATGAATTTGATCACAGTGGATTAATTACTCATCCGTGTTAACCTAGCTTGCTAAGCAAAATTAATGCTATCTACCATACATGTCTAGAATTATACTTGTGCCATTTTTTTTTTCATTAGCACTTAGACATGTCTTAGACTGAAAATAAAGTCTTTACCCATATTGATAACGCCGATTGGCGAAACGCGTTTATGGTTTTTATATTGTGTAATTTTTAAATATTAAAGTATATTTGGTAACCTTTTATCATACCATTTATCTTTTTATACACATATATTTATTATTGTTACCTGGCATTATCTCTTTTTATTCGCTGGACTCCAAGCAATCCTAGGTGGGGATTATACCACCAATGCGAACTACTAGGAGCAGTTGACCTGCTCCTGTCTTGTGAGTATCCACTTTTATTTTCACATATTTTATTCAAAGTTTTACACAGAGAACACTATTGCCTGTCTCTTTTTATTTGAGTGTCTTTCATATTACGGAAGGAGGAAGTACGTGAAGGAAATTCATCCCATATCCTACAAGCGGGGATCTAAACCGCTGTACGCCCTCTATACCAGAGCGGGTTCTAGCTCTTTTAAATGTGAGTTTGCAATCAAGTATTACATTTCAACTTCCATTTTATTCAGATATACTACACTATTTCGGCTCTGTATTTGTTCTTATTTCTTGCATATGAGACGGTCCATAAGGAAGATAACAAGCAAGACTGTTTCGGACCAAGTATCATTACATAATACGATTCCAATGGACATTGCCAGATAAGACTCTCTCTTTTTATCCATTGATTTTATCTGGACTTTTCGTATTATTTAAGTTTTATCCAAGCGCAACCTTTTTCTGTATTTTTTACCTTTCTGTGTTTTGTTTTAAGGGTTTTTGAGGGATTCCCTTATAGGGTTGCTGCTAATCTGTGTTATCTAGCGCTCACTCATTGTTCTGGTTTTAAGACCTACCCTCAGCCTGGAACAAACGCCAGCGAGCAAAGCTGACATACAAAACCTGCTAAGGGAAATGAAAACCCTATTTGCTGCAGATATTGCATTGGTTCGGAAGGACTTGGGGGTAATCACAGCTCGACTGCAATCGTTGGAAGACTCTGGTGACACTGCGCACTGCGGGCAGGATGCTCAGCAGTCCGAGCTAGACAAGCTCAAGCAAGCAAATCTCCTCATGGAAGGCAGAATAGCAGTGCTGGAAGACTCCAAGCGACAACGCAATCTCAAGATTTGGAGCGTCCCTGAGGATGCTACGGACTCCGAAATCCCTCACTACCTCCGCCGCCTGCTAAGCAGCGTACTAACACCATCCAAAGCTAAAGCGATCTTGCTAGACAACTACTTCAGGATCCCAAAACCAGCTAAGGCCCCGGACGGGGCTTCCAGGGACTTGCTAATATGCTTTCAATCACTGCGCAGTAAGCAGCTGGTACAAGCAGCCATCTGCGACGCACCTTCATACCATTTCGAAGGAGCCGACCTTACCTTCTTTAACGACCTGACGCGGTCCACCATTGTCTGGCAGCAAGCCCTCCGTCCATTAACCCAGCACTTGAGACAGCACGAGGTGGCATACTGCTGGGGTCCAGGCCGCAAACTTACTGTGCTTCACGACAGAAAGAGAATCCCGCTACAGCAACAATCGGATGCAAGGAAATTCTTCAAGGCACTGGGGCTGCCTACTCCAGAGGCCCAGCAGGCACACACTCTAGGTGCGGACTCCCAACCATCGACCCAGATGTGGGACGTGAGAAATGTCCGACCCTTCTACCCGAAAACAAGACCCACAGCAGTGGAATCAAACCTGGTCGGCACTTCAGATTTGTCTCCGGCACAGGGACAGTCCTTCTAATTCACCCTCGGATGCTCACACCACTAATATAAAGTGTCACTAGTCTGATGCAACCTATTTAAATGTTATTTGTCTTTACTAATTGATGTTCCTCCACAATTGCTCTTACTTGAGACTAAACCCTCTCCCCCCCCCCCCATTGCAAGCAGAATACTTAGAGTATTACAATGTGCAATGTTAAAATGATAAGAATTACTCATGACAGCTTCACAGCATTGTATTCTATATATCACTTGACCCATGTCGCTGGTAATATGTTTCCTTGAATGCACAAAAATTTTTTAGCATGATATGCTTTTCACAGTTTGTATGGCTCCTGTGTGCTACAATAAAATACAAATAATAAAAAAAAAAAAAGGCTATTAAAGAGAAATATAAGAATTTAGCTAAATAATACAGATAAAATGGAAGAAAAATGACAACACAGAGTAGAAAGAATAAGCTCTTTGTAAATTGTGCTTAAAGAATGTGTAATTACCGATGCACAATGTCGTGTCGGTGGAGAAACTGGAGCCCACATGCCATCTCTGCAGCGAAGAATCTGATAAACAAGAATTGAATAATGTATCAAGTACAGAGTATTTAATACAGAATAAGCTTAGTCTTTAAAATGAGAACTTCCTAAATGAGTTGACCTAGGGAAATCTACCTGCCATAATTCTATTATAATGTATAAATATATAATAAATAACTAACAAAATTACTGCCCTAGAACTAAGAAACACAGGTTGAAGACACCTAATGATATATATCTGTGTACCTCAAATCCTCATTGATTGTAAGCTCCTTTTAGTAGGGTGTACAATTATCCCCTTTCTATAAATTGTAAAGCTATGTGGAATAGACTGGAACTTTAAAAATGCTAATAATAATAGTAATATCCAGGTGGGTTGAAACAATGCTCCTTTTCCTCAAAAAAAGCTGCTATTTTGACTATTACCTTCAGTGCCTGGACCACAATTTTATTTTACATATCTAGAAGTGGGGTTTGGATATCCTCTGATCCATTGCACCTTGGCTGCCTGCTGAGTCTGATATCCTCTACCTTTCTACAGCATGTGGGTGGTGACCATATGTGTGTGTGTGTAGGTGTGACAGTATCGGGAGTGATAGCTGTGCAGGAGAGTGACAGTCATGGGCGTCCGCAAATTTGTTTCCAGTGGGGGGCATAATTGTTTTAACATCCATGCTCTGCCCCTTTTTGACAGTGTTGAGAAATCTGGAACGTATATATATATATATACACACACACACACACACACACACACACACACACACTTATATTTCCTATATATGTATGGGTATTGCACAATGCCTCGATGTTGAGGCATCATACAATAATCCCCTCACCCCCTCACACG